ATATATATATAAAAAGGCAAAAAAAAAAAAAAAGGTAAAAAACAAGCATTTTGTGTAGCTAACTAGTTGGTCCAATGGCATTGCAAAAAGAGAATAACCTCCTCTGGCTTTTGATTTCTCTCTTCCATACTCTTAAGTGTCTGTATGTGTTAACTGTACCAGTGTTTTGATCTGTCCCTAGAGTTTAGAAGGAAAAAAATAATCGCTGGTAGAGATTGTTCACTAGTTCATCTACTGTTTGGTTTTGTTTTAATTTAAGGGAAAGTGTTTGTCGCCTCTTTGTGCTACTGAGTTATAAAAAGGTATCCAGTATTTGTTGCCACAAAAGTATAGTTCAACAACACTTTTTGTTTGTGCAACCTCTTGAGCTAATGTCTATAAACAAAAATTTATTACTATTTATGTAATGCTACTACCATTTTATATGATTTGTGTTGAATTTCAGTGCTTTTCTATGAATAAAGTGTGAAACACAACTTTGCCTCTTTAAACTTAATGTGATATACAGCTAGCTCAAGTGCAACTTTTCCTCTTGAAGCAGGAATTTGGCACATCGAACGGCGTGTATTTTTTATTTTATTTTTTTTAATTAATATTGTACGTAAATGTCTGCAAATAAATAGAAACTGATCAAAAGTGACAGCAAAGACATTTACAAAAAATATATATATTTCAAATAAATGTTGTTCTTTTGAACTTTCTATTCATCAAAGTATTCTGTAAAAGAAATATATTGTTGTTTTCACAAAAATATTAAGCAGCACAATTGTTTTCAACATTGACATTAAGAAATGTTTCTTGAGCTCCAAATCATTTCATTTCTGAAGGATCATGCAACACTGAAGACCACAGCAATGGCTTTGCCATCACAGGAAAAAAATGTATCTTAAAATGGGTTCAAATAGAACAAATATTTTAAAATGTAATAAGAAATTGACTTCTTTAAAAAAAAAAAAACTCTTAACCCCAAATTTTTGAATGGTAGTGTGTGAAGGGGATATTTTTTTACACCATTTCCCCGGAAGAGAAATATTGAAAAAAGAAACTTAAGCAGAAGTAAGCATTTAAAATTTCAGAAAGTGGTCAGAAATATCACTGCAGTTATATATATAAAAAAAAAAAAGCAGCTCGATACCCCCACACATCTTGTCCAGACTACATCCCCAGCTCTCCTCCTGTCTCCTCTTTAGAAACTCAGCGTCTGAATCACAATAAACTCCAGGAAAACCTTGTGTCAGAGTGATCGACTGTGTTAGAGATGCAGTCGACAGGAACAATGCTCTTTGGGCCTGCTTATACAAACTATCCCATCAATCAGGGTCCCTCACAGCTGCTGCTCTTCATTGTGTCTTGGACCCAATGCAGCGCCGCGCTCCTGTGAGGACCACTGAGTAAGTGTTTGTCAAGCCTGGCAGTGCTGCCAGCTGAAATATGGATGGGGTTGGCTCAGTTAGACACGCTGCAAAGAGAAGGCATTTCCTTAGCTCAGTGATTTAGCAGAAGTGACACACCAGGAAAAGAGAGACGAGTAATTGGCTTTCCCACCTTGTTGTGAGCTTCCAGCGCGGGCTGAGCCTGTCAGATTGGAGCGAAGAGTAGGTGTTGGGCTTGATGGGGGAAACAAGCATTGTTTATAAGTGTAACAATGTAACGGAGGCTTTTCTTTAATTAGAACCCAACCCATCATCAGAATGAGGAAGTCTAAACGCAGTCACGGAGCACACGAGCCTGTCAGGCAACTCTGAGAACTGTTGTGCTTCTGGGCAGGTTTGTGCAGTGAGAGGAAGCTTTGTCCTTTGTACCCTGCATGGCAGGTTCTGCTGTCAGCGTAATCACATATTGTGTTCATAGGGGAGCTGATTTGCAGAGCTTTGTTCTGCTGCTCTGATGTTCCCAGAATCCCTCTGTAATTGGGGTGTCGGAAGACTCTGTAAGAGGGGTGGGGCAGCTTGGGACTTTTTTTAGGTGGGCTGAGTTGGAATGGAAAGCTGTAGTGGATTACGGAAGAACGGAACAGAATGAAAGATCAAGCTGAACAGCTGTGATATGTGTAATTGGTTACACATTTTTTGTTAACCTCCTGAGACCCTGTGACCTCATATGAGGACATTATATTTTGGTGTATTTCTCTGAGACTATACAGTTTTAAGTCTGGATGTCCTGTCCAGAGCACATTCAGGGCTTTTCAGAGATACTAAATGTTTGGATGTTTCACCATGACCACTCCCTCTCCTTGGTCTTCAAATATGTCTGATATTAATTTAGTGACACTCTTATGGAAATATGATAATATTTTGTAATTATCATTTAAATCTGTCTAATTTTTAAACTGTCTGTCATAAATCAACATCTCAGGAAAATGTTATGGGGTTTCAAATCAAAATATGACTTTCTGTTACGAAACAGGATGTTGATTTCATACATGTCCTCATATGAGGACACTGGGACTAAAAGCATGTTTATTAGCATTTTGGGAGACATAAATGAACAGGGAAAGAAATTATGTTTCAATATTCTATGAAATATATATTTCTATGAAATATTATATATTATTATGAAAATCTTGTCAAATATTACTCCCATTATTACAGTTATTTTTTCATTACATGTTGCCCCAAAAACACATTAATATGCAAATTAGATTTAGTTTATAGATGCACTGTATATAATGAGAAAACCCGTTTATGGCCATTTTACACACATTTTGCAGAAAGAAAAATGATATATCAAATCATTCTGTTATAACATGGTTGAGAATCATCTTTATACAAAGTTTGGTAAAAAAAAAAATCCTGAAAACTAAAAATGTATTGGTGATTTAAAAAAATCTATTGTTTTTGCCTATGCATGTTCATTCATGTCTTTTTATTTAAAAAAAAATAAAACCGAGGACATAGCATACCTTATGAACGAAACATCATTTTTTGAAAAAAAAAAAAAAATGTTTTACATTATTTTTAATGCTCTAAACAATGTAAAGACATGAAAAAAACTATTTTTTTCCTAAAAATCTTTCTCGGGTCTTAAGAGGTTAAATAAACTATTACAGTGTTTATTAATCTAGGTGTATGCAAATCTATAAATATAATCATTGTTAAGTTCATTGTTAATTCATGGTCATATTATAAATGTATACAAGTTACTTCCAGTCTTCGAATTTGATTAGCCAAGCGACGTTCCAAGGACAGCACTGCTTTTCAATTTTTTTTCTCTTCAAAAAGAGGGAACAATTGAGAGATTGAGAACTTTGCAGTATTTACAATGCTGACGACTGTTGAAAAGTAGACTTTTGATTTGGAGTAAGTCATTAAATTATTCGCTCATGGAATGTCATTTGAGGGTGAAATATTTCCCCATGCAGATTTTGCAACTGATTTATGTTGGCCACGCATTCGCCGCATTGACCATTAGAAACCTGCTTGAATTGAACGTGAGTTCAGTGTAAGCTGTGCTTCATACATTTCTACACTATACTATACTGACAATAGACGAACAAACATTTTTGCCCAACAAAATTTTTGTTAATGTGGAATTGTAAAAATAAATAAATAAATATAAAGAGAAAATCAGCATAGAATAAACAAATTATTAATGACCAATCAATTTGGATTTTACAAGATGGACTCCACAGTACTGACAACAACTTGAAATTCATACCCAAAATTTCAACTCAATCTTAGGCCAAGCCCCCCCAAAACCCTCCCATCTGATAAAGCAGTGATAGTGCCAGGACCTGACAAATGATGTACAGCCTGCTGTCTTCAGGAACATATTGGATTTTCTGGCCTGCTGATTTGCTGAGAGATTAAGCCCAAACCCCTATCATCCCTAACATCCCCTTGTGGCTTCCTATAGGAGACCTTGGGGAATTCAGCTTTTTTTTTTTCCATTCATTGTTGCAATTAAAAATGCCAGGAGCCCCTTGAGGCATCACAGAATGCCTCACTAGGAAACAGGCCCAGCTCCCCAATCACAGCTGCGCTCCATGGACACAAACTAGCGGTGAGCGACAGTGGCTTAAAAATCCAACAACACTAATCAGCAAATTGATTACAGGATGTTTCTTCTTTCAGCACCTAACACACAATCAAGGCCAGACTTATCCTGCATTGACAACACCGCACACTGGCAGATGAGGGTAAAAGAGGGCCGCAGCTGCCACCATTTCACACTAAATGACCGTATGAGAGTGTGGAAAAACATTCATCATGTGGTTGCTTGTAAAACAGACAGTAAACAACTTTAACCAAAACTGAATTAGAAATCATTCTGTTATGCTAACAAATGACAGATTTGCAAGCCCACATCAAAACTACGCAATTTTACATACACAAATGGGGTTCCGAAAGCACTAACATGATTGAAAAATGTATAGAAATTCCAATAAATCCTTGTTTTGAAGTTCAGGGTTCATCAAATCATCTCGCATGTGTCACATCACATGATGCGTTGCTGGGGAATCCCACTCCCACCCTCCCAAAAACAAAAAAACAAGATTTAAGGATTTGCTTACCCAGGGTGCTTATTCGTCGTTTGGTATTACGTCCTCTGGGATTAACATTTCTATTACTAAATGTGAAAGGCAGTAAGCGAGACAGTAATCATAGATCAAGAGAATGAACCCCCCACCGAAAAGACTGGTGCAAAACAAAGGGGGGGGAAAAAAAAAAAGGTTGCACATGATTTAGGTATGTGATATTCAGATAGGAGACATTCCCCTGAGGGATGTTTGTCTTGATCACTCTTTATTGCGCTTCATATAAAACATCCATTGATATGTACACACATTCTCAGAGGTTCATTAGTGTCAGTCACAATTCTAGGGAAGACAGTCTCAAGCCCAGATGTTACTATGGTACTACATTAAAAACAAACCCATACAGCGCTTAGGATTTGATCAGATTTATCCTTCACTTATTCCACATTCTTCAGTGATCGTACAGTGCATCGGCTCTAATGAAAACACATCAATCCAACTGAGAAAGACATGTTTCCACTGAAAATTATATTAAAGATTAGATGGATTGGTGTGGAGCCATTATAAAAAAGTAGGTAAAATAGAAAGATGGCCTACATAATCATTGAAATGAGTCGGGAACAGCCTTTTGGGTGAATCTCTCAAAAGCCTGTCAGGAAATATCTGGGTCACATTTCACCACAAAATCAGAAAAAAAAAAAGGAAATACCAATTTGCATAAAGAAAATGAAGCCTACATTTGAGATAATTAAGATATCTGGCATTTAGGCATATTTTACCCCCAAGTTCTCATTACTGTATTGCATATCATTATATGATTATTACCATAATACAGTATTCTAAAAACAGCATTTTTTTTTTTACTTAAATCAGCATAAATTAGGGTGAGCTATCCTTTTTTTTTTTTTTTTTTAAATGTTATATATATTTCACATTATGGTACTGTGAATGAAAAACTTTTTTGCAGCAGGATATTGTAATACCAGGCAGATAGAGGAGTAAAAAACAATATTAATAAATAATATATACAAATAATATTAATAATGATATAAATATGTTAATATACTAATATTAATGAAAATAAACTATCATTAAAAAGGATATTTATAACACCACTAAGGTCCTATATAGCATTTTCAAAGCATGGTTCTTTATGGAACCCTATAAAACGGGTTCTATTTAGCACTAAAAAGGCTTCTGCTATTGTTACAAGCTGAAGAACCCTTTTCTGGTACTGTTTAGAACCATTTTTCTTAAGAGTGTATGGTAAAGAGAATTTGGGAGGGAAATGTGAAATGTAAAGCCTTAATGGTCCTTCCTCGTTAAGCCAAAACTATTTTCTTATTTCTTTTCATTTTGGAGTGAAATAGAACTGGACATTTTCTTGACAGATTTTGAGAGAGGTTTACCCTGTAACATATCTAATGATAAAGCGGTGTACACCAACAGTTGTTGCTTCTCTTGTGTTTTAGAGGGTCTTCTGATGGGAGAGTAACCTCTTATTTGCGGTTGAGGAGCTGGCGAGAATGGGTGTGAACGGCCTCTACAAACGCGCCCACATTTTCTGGGTCCATATCAGGGTACAGGCCGTGACCCAGATTAGCGATGTAGCCCTTGGTGCCGAAGCTTTCCAACATCCTCTTCACAATCTCTGATATGCGCTCCTGATCACACATAAATGAAAAGAAGTGTTTGGGTTGGATATCATACATCAGGTTTGACCTCTGGTCAAAATCTATTAGCTACGGGGTTTTAAACACCCCCATAACTTCTGAAATGATGGTGGAAAAAATGTATTTAGGAGGCATCGAGACATGCTTGTAATTAACGAGCAATGAAAGCCAAAGACGACTCTGTGTGGAAAACAGCTGCTCTTACGGCTCATATTTTCAGCAGGGCCTAAATTTGTACAAACAAAATGGCCTCTTTATTTTGAAATGGACTAACCAGAAGTAAAGTAATGCTTTTGAAGCACAAAACACTTCTATACAACGTAGACTAAACTGAAGTGAAGCGGAGAATTGGTTGGGTTTCAATGGAAACATGATTCTGTTGGGTGTTGTTTTGATGTTCCTTTCCTCACCTTTGTGGCATAAAGAGCGCAGGGATCCATGTTGCCTTGCAAACTAACTTTTCCTCCAGTCCTGATACTGAAAAACACAAACATATATATATAATATTTAAGGACCATTCTTTCACTGAGAAATAGCCAAACATCACAATACACTCACACAAGGCAAAAGGTTTGAACATAGTAGTGGCCGAAATGGCAATTTTACTTTTGATTAAATATGAATACAGGTAACATTACATCAGTGAGCACGGCCATATTCTATGGCAAGGTAATTAAGAAAAGGGCAGAACTGGTTCTTCCTGCAGATGAAAAAAACAGCTTTTTAAAGTTTCATTCATAAAAAAGGTGATCTTTCAAGGATTAAGGGGGGATGGAGGGATGGGGGGCTCATGTTCATAGTCTTCCTCTCATAAGATTGTGTAATGCTGAATTTTCATGAACTGCAATGTTTTTGGTTTTATGTCAATGTTTTATGATACATGATATACAGTATTATATTTGTTTTAACTGTATAAATTTGTAGTTTAAATAATATTCATGAAAAATTTAATGAAATTTAAAAATTATAAATCATTATTCAGCAAAAAATAATGGAATAAATAAAAGCACAAGTTGTTGGAAAGTATGTATAAGGTGTCAATTATAAGTAAGTACTGTGTTAAAGCTTATAATAGCACCAATTGAATCAACACAAACAACATTTCTGAGGAAAAATATGAACTATAAGTCAATTTACACTTATTCTAAGTTAGATCCACTATTGTATGCTGTTGCCGTATGGCAACATATCATAAAGTACCTTAAAAATATATTTTTTTCCACATTTTTTTTTACAGCACTTCAAGTTAAGCCATTCTTAGAAAAGAAAAAGATTCAAATATTTTTTTCTATAGGTCTATCATAATGCGTGCGGTAGAGGGTTAAGGACCATTCTTTCACTGAGAAATAGCCAAACATCACAATACACTCACACAAGGCAAAAGGTTTGAACATAGTAGTGGCCTAATGGTTAGAGAGTCGGACTCGTAACCCAAAGGTTGCGGGTTCGAGTCGTGTACCGGCAGGGATTGTAGGTGGGGGAAGTGAATGTACAGCGCTCTCTCCCACCTTCAATACCACGACTGAGGTGCCCTTGAGCAAGGCACCGAACCTCCAACTGCTCCCCGGGCGCCGCAGCAAAAACAATGGCTGCCCACTGCTCCGGGTGTGTGTTCACGGTGTGTGTGTGTTCACTGCTGTGTGTACGCACTTTGGATGGGTTAAATGCAGAGCACTAATTCCGAGTATGGGTCACCATACTTGGCCACATGTCACATGTCACGTCACTTTATCAACAG